CAACTCATCTGGGCTTTGGTTTCATGCTTGGTGGGGTTTTTTGTTTGTTTTTGTCTTTTAGACTTGGGCTAATCAAGTCTCAGGGCAGATGATCACCATGAAAGAAAAAAAGTGAGGCATCTACACATCTCATGCTAGTCTGCTTAGCACCAGTCGACCGATCAATACAGTTTGTTCACTTAACCCGTCTCTTGACTGTGTGCTGTTCATGTGGATCCATTTTAATGCAGTTACAGTATGTTATACATAATACGGCTCAGTTTTTATCAATGAGTAAAGTTCTAGCATTATGTCATTTAAATGCCTAAGTGAGATTTGAGTGCGTTTGAGGAGTAAATGGTGATCGTTAGACGACCGAGTCTAATCCTCAGCAGTTTTGTTTTCTGCAGTGGTCGGTATTTATTAAAAGTGGGCCAAAGAAGGAACCAGCGACAGGGTCGTGAGAGACGAAGGCTCACTGATGCACATGGGGAGTGAAGGTTAGCCGGTGTGGTCGATCCAACAGATGAGCCACTGTAGCTCAAATTGCTGAAAAATTTAATGCTGGTTTTGTCAGAATACACATGCCATGCTGACCCCTGTCCACCGTCAAAAGCACCAATAATGGGCATGCAAGCATCGGAACTGGACTATGGTGCAATGGAAGAAGGTGGCCCGGTCTGATGAATTACGGGGTTTTTTTTGGTTTTTTTTACATCACTTGGATGGCAGGGTGCGTGTGTCTCTTACCCAGGGAACCCTATGCTCTATGGGAAGAAGGCAACCCAGCATAGGCAATGTGATGTTTTGTTCTGCTTAGAAGCCTTAGTTTCTGCCATCTATGTGGCTGTTACCTTGACATGTACCACCTACTTAAGAATTGCTGGAGACCATGTACACCCTTTCATGGAAACGATATTCCCTGATTGCTCTGGTTTCTTTCAGCTGCGTCAAAGCAATAACGGATCAGGAATGGTTTGAGGAGCACGACAACAAGTTTGAGGTGTTGACTCGACCTCAAAATTCCCCAGATATGAATCCAATCATGTGTCTGTGAGGTGTGCTGGACAAACTAGTCCTGTAACCATGGAGGCCACACCTCCATGGTTACAGGACTTAAAAGGATCTGTTGCTAACATGCTGGTGCCGATACCACAACACACCTTCAGGGGTCTAGTGGCTGTTTTGGTAGCAGACTAACTGACTCAATATTAGGCAGGTGATCAAAATGTAAAAATGCTCATAATTTTCTATCCTACCCTCATCACAGGACAAGCCCAACCTGAACCGGCTGCCCCCGAGCACCGCAGCAGAAGGCCTCGTGCAATTTCGAGTATCATGCCCCTCGACCACTGCCAGCGCGTTTCTCTGTTTGTTGACTTCGAGGAGATCGGCTGGTCGGGCTGGATCATCTCTCCCCGTGGATACAATGCCTATCACTGTACGGGCTCCTGTCCGTTCCCGCTGGGGGTAAACATCAGGGCGACCAACCACGCCACAGTGCGTTCTATCATGCACGCACTCAAGGTTACTAGTGATGAGGTGGAAGCGCCCTGCTGCGTGCCGGACACGCTCCAGTCTATGAGTCTGTTGTATTTTGACGATGAGGAGAATGTGGTTTTAAAGCAGTATGACGACATGATGGCGTTAAGCTGTGGTTGTCATTAGCTGCCTGTGAGTCTCCTGGATTCTTTAACACTGGTCAACACATGGGCATGAAACAGTGAGGGTTAAGTTCCTGTGTTTTTGATGGTATTCACTGAGGTACTGAAAGAGCTATTTCATAGCTACGTCGCTAATCCTTTGACGATGCAAGTCCAATGGCCTGTTGTTGTTCTCCATTTTTTAAAATATTGTTTATATAGTTGATATTGTGGCCCAAAGGCCCACTTCAGGTTCTTCTTCTGGAGTGTAATTTGAATGTTTCTGTGACACTGATATGTCCATGGTGCTGAGCCAGCCCATGTGGTCCGTCCTACAAAATCATTACTTTTTATTTGGAATTAACTTTTACTGTCTCTCAGCGGACTGTGGTAGCTGCCACTAAAATGCTCAAATTACAATTAAAGGTGATGTTTTCAAGTATTCATTGTTTTAGTTCAGGAGCACATCAAATTAAAACTATTTTACATTTAAGCAAAAACCACTCCAACATTTTTAAAGTAACTTAATTTTTTAATTGGCTATTTAAAAAAAAAAAAACACATTTGGATAAACTGATTGATTGAAAATGATTTCCAGGGACTATTATTTATTAAGTACCACATATCAATGTGGTACTTAATAAATCAGTGTCGAATGTTTTTTTTATATATCTTTCAAAAACACAAATATAAAAATTAAAAAAGTGTGATGTACAAAAAAAGCTCTGGATGTTGATTTCAAGGCCAAAAAAAAAAAGTAATACGCAAGTTGTTACAACCTGATTCTGTAATGTAAGAAACAATGTTACATGTTTGTGTTTTATTAAAAGCAGGGGGGCTATGCTGAATGAACTGGGGGAAATTAAAAGACCCTGCATTGTTTTCAAGTTCTTATTGTATTATATTAGAGCACACAAGAAATAAAAGAAGCACATGAGTGCCCAGAAACATTCTTGTTCATTGTTCGGTGTCTTTGCATAAATCGGTCAGCAGGTAGGTAGGACAGAGGTGAAGCTGGAAGCTGCTAATGTGCTTAAAAAGAATACAAACTAATATTTGATGCTGCGTTTAATAAAACAGTTTTAAAGACAACTGCAGTGGTTTTAAATAAAAATTCCTTAAATTAGCTTTTTGTAAATTCCAGTGTTTTAGAAACAGTCTACTTAAACTGTCAACAGAGAAAAACACTTGATTGCACTGTATGTCCAAAACATTTGTGTATTGTGTTAAAGAGAGTCTACAGAAGCTTGTTTCTGCCACTGGAATAAAAACTGCCATGCCTAACCTGTAAATGTTGAGCTACGTATCTCGAGCTTGGGTGGCTGTAGCTTAGGTGGCAGAGCAGGTCAGCCACTAATCAGAACGTCGGTGGTTCGATCCCAGGCTGCCTCCTGGCTGGATGTATCCTTGGCTGGATGTTAGTATCCTTGGGCAAGATACTAACCCCATGTTTGCCTACTGGTGGTGGTCAGAGGGCCCAGTGGCGCCAGTGTCCGGCAGCCTCGCCTCTGTCAGTGTGCCCTAGGCTGTGGCTACAATGTAACTTGCCATCGCCAGTGTGTGAATGGGTGAATGAATGTAGTGTGAAGCGCTTTGGGGTCCTTAGGGACTAGAAAAGCGCTATACAAATGCAGGCCATTTACCATTTTGAGTATATAAGTTGAAATTTTGAGAAAATAACTCAAAATTCCAAGTTTGCTCTGCAAATCAGAAAACTGTAATCGATGTCATCTGCTTCTGGGTGACAAGGAAATGACTTCAAATCCTTCAAAGATCTTCCCAATTGGCAGAGGCAACTCGAAATTTCAACTTACTAAAACAAAAATTTTAATTATTTTCTCAGAATTTCAAATTATTTATGTGAAATTTCTACTTATTAACTCAAAGTTTTTTTCTTTTGTTTATTTTTCCCCCACTGGCAGAGATGAGCTTCCATAAGTAACAGAAGCTGAATTATGGCTGGGGCTTTACTTCCATGCAATACCACTTTGTGCCAAAAGATGGTGCAACAAGTCAATGTAACCTTCATTGAAGCAGGCAAAAGTACTCACTGTTATTTACAAAGGCAGCCTGCGAAAAAGGCTCAGCCCCTCAAGGAAGATTGAGAGAGATTGGGCTAAAAAGAGACTAAAGTTAAACAGCAGCACACTTCGCTGAGGTTAATTAGAAAAGGTAGAAGAAGGGCTGTTCAGTGGTGCTGCTGTGACTCAGGTCGAAGAGCAGTTCGTCCCCCAAACAGGAAGTCAAAAGATATGTTTGTATGAATCTGTGTTACTGATGAATAAAGCTTATATTATACTCTAACCATTCACTAATCCAATTTAAAGCAAATACCCATAACAGTAGTTGTTTTCTTTTATTGGAATGCATCACAGACACAAGACAGCCCTGCTTGATTCTACAAACCTGCAAAACAAATTCTCCCTCATATCCTCTCCATACAAAACATGAATTCCAATAATACCAGTTGAAGCTTTCAGACAGTATAAATGAAAACAACATCAAAATGTGCAATTTGGACTTTAGCATGCAAAGTTTTCCAAAATGTTGTAGTATGGAGATAAAATCAATAAGGTTTGGTTCAAGTATATCGAATGATAAATGACTGTATACGTCTGGTGAAAAAGGAACTCTCAAGACAACAAACCTTGCAGGTAGTAAAAGAAATGCTACAATATCTACACAGTTGTGGAGACCCAATACAACTGTAATATATAACAAACTGTCAGCATTTACAATAAATAAACATTTTACAGTGAAGCCCACCCTCTCTGTTTATACTTAAATACATTATGTACATGGAACGTCCATGTCCATTTTACTCAAAAATCTTACGCAAACCCTTTCAACCACATTTAAATTAGCACATTCTACATCATTCATCCAATAAGTCGTCATCTTTTGTCAGGTTATGCTCATCTAAAAGCCATTCTCTTTTCACAAAGCCATTAATGGCTTCAGTAGCTTTACAAATCCAACACAACTTCAGTGCCTCCTGAAAATTGAAGGCAAGAAAAACAAAACCACAATCACAGATCTAAACTGCAAAAACAGTCAACACCGAAGGGAAAAAAAACGCCCTGAAATATGCATTGGCAATGAACTTTACATTCCTGGGAACATTTGTGGTGCCTTTTTCCTCATTCTGTCTGTAACAGGCCAAATGTAGCAGTACAACAAAAAGTATTTACAAGAGCAATTATTTCTTTCTGGGATTGCTGTTTTGTACCAGCGTTCAACAACCAAACAGAGAAAGATCCATCACTACAGTGTTGTTGCTTTTTAATAGTCCTTCTGTCAAATGCTGGTATAGTATAAGAAGGCAAAGTTGGTTGGGGAAGAGTTTTAACATGACAAAAGCATTTTTTTAAAAACTCCTGGAATGCAACAAACACCACAATTCAGTGATACAAAACAGCATTCCTTTTAAACCCTCTGGCCCATCAGCTAGGACAGTCAAGTTCCTCAGTGCCTATGAACTCCCCTAACATGTGTTCGTTCTGACCATAGAGAGGTTCCAAATATGGATGTGCATCTTTACAGTACATTTGCTTTGATCTCTCTATATTCCTCTGCTCAAAGTCCTCTGGTTCCAAATGAGGTGCCTGAATTGTAGCTTTCGGAGCCATGGGCGACAGAGGCACTGGGACAAAGCCATGGTAAACAACCAAAGGAGGGCTCAAGACCTCCATAGGTGATGCCTTAGGGACAGCACCTTCTGGTGGCTGGACTGGCAGCTGCACATAGCTTCCTGTTTCAGGATCAAAGAAGGTTTTCGTCTTGACTTGTACAGGCATGTCTACAAAAAAATACTGTCCTGAGTCTGGATCCTGGAGCAGCTTACGTTGGGTCATGGGGAAGGACTGCGTAACGATAGCATGCTCCATGCTAGACTGTCGAGACAGCTGGCTGGTGTGGCTTGATTGGCGGGATAGGGGTGAAGGGTGAGGTACTTCAGTGGCATACGCATCAATACTGTGGCTCCGTCTCAGAGGGTTGTCTCTGTTAGACTTGTTTCTGACTCGGCCTCTCTGCTGAAGCTCATCCATGATGGATCTCTCAATGCGTTGGGTTCTGGGATCAAGCTTCTCATTGACCGGCATGTCGGCGCTGAGTCTGCGCTCGGCTCTATCTCCTAAATGCCGGTCAGTGCTTTGCGTTCGATGCAAAGCCCTGTCTGGCACTTGTTTCTCACTGATGTGAGCTTTGTAGACGGGCACATTACTGATGATCCTGTCGCTGCTGCGATGTCTTTGCTCTGTCTTATCTCCAGTGTGTCTGCGGCTGCTGCGGCCTTGTCTTTCCGATGCCATGCTGGGCAGGGCTTCTCTCCTCTGGTTGTTACTTTCCAATGATTCGTGATCCTGTCTCAGAGTCTCATGCTTGACTTCTGATTTGTTGCAGCTGGGACTTTCATTCTTGTTTAGCAGTTGCTCACACTGGCTGTTGCTGTTTTTACTATGGTGGCTTCTGCTGTGATCGTCCTCACTTTTTCCTCTGTGTTCTTTCTCGCTCCTCCTGCCATTTCTGTTACCAGTGCTGCTTTTGTGCTCAGACTTATCAGCCTTGTGTCTTTCTGCTCTGTGTTTGCTACTGTTGCTGCTGCTTTGGGAAGACCTGTGAGGCGACTTTTGGGCCTCTTCTTTCTTTATCCTTCTATTTGCAAGCTTGATTGCTTTTAGAACTGCCTTTTCCGATTTAGGTAGGACGGGCGGTGGCTTCAGCAGACCTGTTTGGCTATCATTATCACCGCCACTTTGGCTGAACCCCAACGTCGTATCATATTCTGTCAGCCCAGCGTTTAACACCGTCTCCTCAGATGTGTCAGCTGTGCTGTTGGTTAGACTCTCCACTCCTTCCGATGACGGGCTTAACCCGGAAAATCTGTCTTCCTCCTGGGGCACAGTGAGGAACCCTCCAGCTTGTGACTTCTGTGGGTTTTCATTTTGAGGATCTGAAGGGTAAACCAGCTGGGGTGGTGACTGAATCGATGTCATCTCTGTTGGCGTAAGAATGTCTGCTAGA